CAGGTTCTCCTATGTCCCGAGTCTTCACTGACCTTGAAAGGCTAGGGCCAAAATGTTGGCTAACCATGCAGCCCTTCCTTTTCTCCAATTTTGAACTGCTAACTTAGGTTGTTAACCCTCCAGAAGAGAAGCTAATAATTAACCTGCAATATATGCGGTTTGGTTTACCCTATCTGTCTAAATATCAAACATTTTGGCACATCATGGAACAGGCATTTCCATCAGATATTGATATGTTGAACTTTAAAGTCCTTACAGAATATGAAGGAAAAATAATTATATAAAAGTAGAAATAAGCATTTACATATTTTTACAAAGAAATTTAGAAATCTAACCATATATGGAATTGTAAGTCCTTATACTAGGGAGACAATACGATATTTACAGATGTGGGTCTGTTTTATTTCACTAATAATATATCTTCAAGGGACATCCACCTAAATATGAAGGCTTCAGGTTTATCATTCTTCATAGCTGAGTAGTACTCCATTATATAAAAGTACCACATCTTTTTCAACCATTCCACATGTGACAGGCATCTTGGTATGATTTGGTTTATTTTGGACTATTTGACCTTCACCAAAAGTTTTGCAGCTGCCACTGTGTATGGCGGCACAAGCTTTGCAAAACCATGCTTCAAAAATGAAGACTAGAGGAGAAAAACCTATCAAGGTTCAGTTTTTCAAGGCTAACAAGGTTTTAATGCACAACCAACCACTGTTGGTTGAATATTAAAATTGTACTGGCTTTCGTCTTCCTGTACCTCAATACTTTCTGCCAATCCAAGTCCAAACTCACATAGCGCAGGAAACATTGCCAAGATGTTGGAGACTGCCCTGTGCTTTGGTCGGCTCTCCGGCCTGCTTCGGTAGATGTTACTTCTATCCAGCAGTTGCTCTGTCTCCTAAGTATAGATTTACAAAGCTGGTGAGGAGAAGAATGGAGGTTATGCATCTGTAATGTGAAACAGACTTTCAGTCTGTCTGTCTTGTTTCTTCCCCACTGGTGTGCACAGGCCGATGCGGATAGTTTTTATATGGCATGCAATGGCCGCCAGTTCAACTCCATAGAAGATGACGTTTGCCAACTGGTTTATGTGGAAAGGGCTGAAGTTCTGAAATCAGAAGATGTAAGTATAAGTGCTTCTTATATCGATTTCAAATACGTCAGGTTTGTGTAAAATTGGATGTTGTGGTAACTGAAAATGCCCAGAGCAGGCCAAACTGAAGAGACAAAGTAGATGAATGACTGCCAAGGGATGGGGCAAAGAAGAGTGACTGCTAACAGTGTGTGCTTTTTGGGAAGTGATAGAAAATTTCTAGGGCTGGCGAAATAGCTTAGTGGATTAAAGCACCTGCAAGCATGCGCAGGGGCCAGTGGTTCGATCCCTGAGTCTGCAGTGCTGGCCCAGCCCCTGGGGTGCACTGAGACCAATTGAGATTGGGCGTGGTGGCACGTGCCTGTAATCCCAGCTCTTGGAAGGCTGTAAACAGGCAGATCACTATAAGTCTGATCTAGTAGTGAGACTCAAACACCCTGTAGACCCTCCCTAAAATACAAAAAAAAAAAAAAAGGAAAGAAAGAAAAGTTCTAGAATTAGATGGGGGTGACAGTTGTTCTAAGAACTACTCAATTGTATGCTTTAAAAGAATTTTGAGGACTGGCAATGTAGTTCAGTGGACCAAATGCCTGCTTTGGCAAGCACAGGGACCAGGGTTCAATCCCTGGTCAATCTGCATGCTGCACCAGCCCTGCCCCTGGGATGTGCTAAGCCAGCACATTTGTTCCTTTTCAATAAGGATCATCTCAGTATGGCAGGGGCAGCTCATGTATGCATTAATCCAAGCCATGAGCTCTGTAAGTACAGTGGCACATCTTAGGTACTTTGTTCACCTGGATATGTTCAATAACCAGAGAGTCTGCATCTAAACCCTTAAGCTCAGCATTACTCTCTGCATTTTTAAGCATGTACTGCAAAAATTCAGCGCTCTTTGAACCACTGAGCCTGTGTCCAGCCCCACTGTTTGGGCTGGGCACACCTACTAACTCCACCATTGTAACGCCAGAATGCCACACATTACTTCTTTAATGTGACATCCTTCAGACACTTGGGGGCCTTTCAGATATGCATACCCTTGATGGCCTGGACAGTTTCATGCATGTTCTTAAAGTGAATGCGAAGATTTGAGCCTCTTGATTGGCATGATTTTGTGGGGTTTTCTGGGTCGAGAGAGTAGCGAACCATTTTCATAGGTCACCTTAGGCCACTCACAGGAAAAGGAAGAGTGAGATGCTTTCTGAGAGAGTTCCTTTATTTTTTTATTTTGAGAGAGGATCATGCTAAATTACTGGGTTTGAATTTGCAATCTTTATGCCTCAGCCTCCCAGAATGCTGGGATTATAGGTGCGCACCCCCACCCCTGATTTAGTGTTTATCCTTATGCATATGCCTCTTCACCTTCATGTAGGTAGTTCTTGCTAACTTTCTGCAGTGTGGTTTTTGTCCACTCTTGTTCCACACCTTGAATAGTATCATATTTATATAGCAAGGAGTTAGTGTGTGCTAAATGCATGAATAAATTGAGTGCTAATGATACTCTTATCATTAAGTAAATTTTAATTTGCTGTGGAAGAGTCATTCAGATCCACTGCTGTTCTGCTCCTTTTGTTTTTGAGTTGTATTACAGTCACACACATTTGAAACTAGAACTAGGAGTCTGGTTCCATTTCAGAGCAGTTTGTCAGCATTTTGGCAGCAGTCTGTTCCTAAAATGTCAGGTCTACAAGGGCAGGCGTTCTTGCCTCCTTTGTTCATCACATTGTCTCAGTGCCCAGCACAGTGCTGGGAATATAAACAGTGCTCAATCAGTACTTGTGGAGTGAGTGAGTGAATGAATGAATAAAAAGCATACTAATTTTAATTATCTGCATAGAGCCTGTTATGGTTTGTGTCTAGTTGTCTCCCCCAAACCTCATACAGTCAGAGGACAGACTTCTAGACTTTGTGATTAAATTCATAATCCAGTGCTGGGATTATGGGTGTGAGTGCTGCTGGGATTATGGGTGTGAGTGCTCCACCCGGCCTGGAGCTGATAGCCTGAATACACCTAAGGGAGGCAGACTTGCTGTCTGTTGCCATTGTTACCTTTTATGCTCTCTGCTCTTTGCTGCCACCATGAATGGATGCTTTCTGCCCTGTGTCACTCTGCCTCAGAGCCAGGTGAGTATGGACTGAAACCTCCAGTAACTGAGCTAAAAAAACCTTTTCTTCCTTAACTTTGAGTGTCCGGTATTTGTCCCAGCAGCAAGAGAAGAGTAGCTAAAACAGCCATATTGTTGAGAAGATCCTACTAGGAGTCAACAGGAAAACCCTTGCTAAGAAAGGAGGAAGAAGAACGGCTGAGTGCTACACAGTGAGGCTTATCGTGCGGTGTCTCCCCGCAGGGCGCCAGTCTCCCGGTGATGGACCTGACCGAGCTCCCTAAGTGCACGGTGTGTCTGGAGCGCATGGATGAGTCCGTGAATGGCATTCTCACCACATTGTGTAACCACAGCTTCCACAGCCAGTGTCTACAGCGCTGGGATGACACCACGTGAGTGCAGGGACTGCCTCTGACCACAGAAGCCCTTTCTACACTGTAGGACAGGGTGTGCATGGGAAAGGAAGCCACACTCAGAAATTCCAGAAGGTCCACAGGAAGGAACCCTTGTCCACTCTTCTTTCATGGAGCGAGGACCTTGCTTCCCTTGCTCCCTGTCATGCCCATCAGGGAGTGTGAGGCTTGGCTTCTGGTCTCAGAAACATGCAGTTCTTTGAGTGAGTGGGTTTTGATACAAAAGAGGCAGACTAGATCCTTTAGCTTTCTCATAAGAAACTCTGCTGCTTACCTGTGCAAGAACTTGCTGTTATTGACTTGGCTAGGTAGCAGCTTGACATTAGATATATATAACTGGAGCTTTCTTTCTTGGTGCCAGTTTAATCAGCCTCAAATATATTCTACTTCCTGTTTGCCAATCTGATAAAATATATTTGTGACTAGTATTGAGTATTACTTTGTCTTGAATAATAGAAAAGAGGGAGTAAGGATATAGCTCAGTGGCACAAAGGCAAGTGCAAGGTCCTGAGTTTTATTCCCAATATCAAAAAGAGGGTTTAATTGATTTTTTTCAACATCCTTTTATTGTTTTTTTTCCCCCTCTCTACTTGGCATTGAACCCATGGCCTTTGCACTGAGCTACCTCTTATGTCTTTTTTCTGCTTTGTGCTTTGAGGCAGGATCTTGCTAAATAAGTGGCCCTAGCTGCCCTTGAAATTATGATCCTCTTGTCTGAGGCTCCCAGAGTACTAAGATTATAGGCCTGTGCCACCATGTCTACTAAAGTGTTGGTTCTTGGAGCCAGTAAGATAGCTCAGCAGTCTAAAGCACCTGGTTAGGCAAGCGCAGGTACCGAGGTTTGATCCCCAGCACCACATGCAGCACCAGCCCTCCCCCCAGGGCAGGCTGAGAAGGTCACACACACAAATAATAATAATAATAAAGTTTTGGTTCTTAATAAATCTAAACTCACAGTCAATAGAGTGCTGAATCTTCAACATAATCTTCATTATATCTTTTTTTAAAATTTTTTTGGTGCTGGGAATTGAACGCAGGACCTTGCAGTTGCTGCAAAATGTCATGTGTTTAGTTTCATTCAAATCCTCTTTTTAAAAAAATGCGGTAGTCTGGAATTGGCACGTGCCTGTAATCCCAGCACTTGTAAGACTGAGGCAGGAAGATCACTCTTAGTTCAAGGTTGTCCTGTCTATGTAGTGAGTTCAAGGTCAGCCCGAACTACTTAGGCCCTGTCTCAAACAAAAAAAAGTAGGAAGCTGAAGCAGGAATATCAAAAGTTTTGAGGTCAATCTGGTTAAGACCCTGTCTCAAAAAATAAAAAGGCCTGAGGATATAGCTTAGTCCAAAGGCACTAGGTTCAATCCTCAGAACCAAGAAAGAAAAGAAAAATTAACATTTAAGAGAAGAGGAGGGGGCCTGCCCCTTAGCTCAGTTCCTTAAGTTGCTGCTTCAACAAAACAGTCAGGCTAGGTTGTTGTGGTTCAATCCCCACAACTCAAGCCAGCCAAACCTGCCCTGAAGGCATTTGGAGAAAAAAAAAATCCTTATTAAAAAAAAAAAAAGAGAAGAGGATATAAAGTCCATTTTGAGGCTGGCATGTGACTCAATGGTAGAGGAGATGCCTAGCACATAGGAGACCCTGGGTTTGTCCCTAGCAGTTTTCCCAAAAAATGTTTCCTGTTTAAAATACTTAAGCA